TAGCAAGGCTGTCAGTCACTGCTTAGCTGTGCGATTCGATTAAGCAACAAATCACTACTACAGCGCAACCAGCTTGTTAGAGGCAGCAAGCTGCTCGGCATGCGATCTTAATATAGTATTCTATAGGTTGACTAGCTTTTAGGCAGATACATAGAAGTTAGAGAAGGCCTAAGGCAGTCCAAGGTGGTAGAGATTAGCAGCCAAGTAGCGACTTATGGTATTATAAGGTAAGCAAGAAAGCTGCGACAAAGAAATCGGGCCTATAGAGAGATAAGGGGTCGAGGTGTCTATTCCGAGAGTATCTGAGCTATGTGATGGGTATTGACGTTGTCAAGGGAGAGAGTGCTGTTGGTGTTCCGCTACGGCTGTTGTTCCGTTATGAGTGGATGGACGTTAGGCTCTATAGCTTTCATGCTCTAAGTAGACATCTTTGAGTCGTTGCGAGACATAGTCCCTGATTGATATATTCAATTTAGCTAGTAAAAGTATATAAATAGTTTATTAAATAATTTATATCATTCTCGCTATATTAAATGTTGAATAGGTATTAGTGAAGCCTAAATTCTAGTGAAACCTGGATCCTGCACTTGAGCACTCAATTTACAGTCTACATATGATAACACAAACAATCATTCAGCCCTCTTTAAAACCTAAAGCTCCTAATGACAATCTTAGCAAGTCCGCGTGATAGTCTTGATATCTTCTTCGAAAATGGTCCTGCAAGCCGCTGTTCTTGCAACGCACACAAATTAGCGTAATGCTAGCAACAAGCTAAGGTAGTAGGATGCCCTTCTCCGAGGATGAGGTTGTATCCAGTAGATGCCCTCTGATATAGACGCAAAGGTTCACCTATACAATGCTGCTGAGCAAGAGAATAGGCAAGGTAATAGACGCTAGTCAGCGTGTCCAAATGCTTAGGCCCTAATACGTTCTCTCGCAGCGCCTGCGTCTGCCGGTTCATCACTTCAGCTTCTTTATACTTTCTCTGGCTACTTAACACCCACGCTAAGTTGCTTATACTGGTCAGTGTGTCTGGATGCTTAGGCCCTAGTACCTTCTCTCGCAGCACTAGCGTTTGCCAGTTTACTTCCTCAGCCTCCTTACACTTTCCCTGACTATTTAAAACCCAAGCTAAGTTGTGCATGCTTGTAAGCGTAGAGGGATGCCCAGTTCCTAACACCTTCTTGTATTGGGCTAGTGTCTGCTGATTCATGGCCTTAGCTTCCTCGTACTTTTTCTGGTTATTCAGTACTAACGCCAAGTTATGCATACTCGCCAGCGCAAATAGATGCTCAGGCCCTAGTATCTCTGCACTTAATAGCAATGCTTTTCGGTGCGCCGTCTCCGCTAATCTGTGTTGTCCTAAACTTTCCCAACATCGACCTTTATGTTCAGATAGTAAAGCCCACTTCTCCCACTCCCTATATTCCTCCGACCACCCATCAAACGCTGCATGCACTGTTTGTTGCATTTCCAAAAGCCTCTCAGTTATGAATCTTGGCGGTCTTCTGTGGCTCTCCAAAGATGTGTATGTCCAGTTATTGTTGTAGAAACCTTGACTACCTAGGGGCGGTGGATTCTAAGTAGAACGTCGGAGATCCAGCTATAGCAGAGTAATGCCAGCACGAATAAAGATCCTAGAACAGAGAGAGTTGGGATGAAGACAAAAGGCTGTTACACAGATAGAAGATATCTTATTGTTATAGTTACTAGATATAAATTAGGTTCTGTCTTATTCTATCTTACAACTAGCTAACTACATATAATACTTAATTATCTATAATATATATTAATAAGCTATACGCATCAGTAAGCTGAACACGTCACTATGTACATCCTGGCGGTTTGATGCAGGCCCGCACCGGATCATCCATACCGAAGCCGCAGTAACTAGACGAACATGATAGCAGATCTTGAAAGTTATTCCACCCTTGGATATGTACAATTGTATCGACTTACGGCTTTCCTCTGGGCATAGAAATACCCCTCTTCCAACACCCCCGCTTGATGATAGCTCGAAACATGACAAGTGGCAGTAGACTTGCTGTGTGTATCATATATAGTTACTGGTACAAAACAATAACCTATATTACGGTGGGCTAATGTAGTCTTTAACGGATGTGCTTGCTTCTTGGCTGGTAACCTCTACTTTATCCTAGACACAACTCCATCTGGCCTAGCGTAACAAGCAGGAGCACTCTGGAGTGTCTCGCTTGTTACGCTAGTCTTTCTCTAGTTAGGAGGGAATCTTGCCACTTAGAACTTGCCAACTGTATGTCAAAACTGAAACACGACAAACAGCGAGTACTCAATTTTTTAGAATTATCATCACAAAGAACTAGAAATACACCCACTAATAGCCGCAATAGTGTCTGCAGGTCATCGTGCGTCCCCCCGTGTCGGTTCGGCACCTATAGAGCTACTATTGCGGCCCTGGGTGACACAGACAGTAGAATTTGCGAGCAAGCTGCTTACTTAATATAACACGTCTACCAAATGCAGCAGCAGCCGTCGTTGAGCTGAGACGCCTCCGCAAGCCTAACCTCTCAGAATACGCGCGACTACACAACCTGCCATATCAACGCCTACACAGGGCTTTTAATGGTGGCAACAACAGATCCACGCGCGCACCTACAAATAGGAAGCTTCTCTTGTATACTATCTTGACGCTGTCGACGCCGTAGGCTTCAGCGTCACCAAGTACATAGTCGAGGCTCAAGCCAACCACCTTCTGAAGCAAGCCTTTGAGGACGCCATTGACTCTGAACCCGATATATTAGATCCTGCAGAGCCGCCTGTCGTCGGCCAGGACTGGGCTCGCCGCTGGCTTAAGCGGCATACGAAATATACAAGATTAAGAAGCCAGCCAGTTAAGCTTACGCGCAAGCTGGCACAGGACCCAGAGGCCTTACAACGATAGTTTACGCAGTTAAAAGAGCTTGTAGACTTACTTAGTATACAGGAGGAGGATCTATACAATATGGACGAGACTGGCATCCAGATTGGCATCTCGAAGAGGCAGGCTATCTACACGCAACATAGACGCAACGTCCTTATGCCAACGTCTAATAACAGAGAGCTCGTTAGCCTTATAGAGTGTATTTCTGCGTCTGGCCATTCAATCGCGCCTATGATTGTTGTCAAAGGCAAATTAATTTAGAAAAACATACCAGCTACTAGACAACTGCGATTTAAACGTCTGTAATTATTGTTGAGCATATATTTATCGTTGAGCTCAGGGGCCCTAAGCTTGCGAGGGCCCATGCGCAGCATGGGTGGCGGGACGCCATCCCTGGGCCCGAGTACTGATAAAATACGTTAGTTAATCATTCTTACACACAATTTATTTACGCCCGGCGGCCGTGCCGAAAGGGCTACTAACGCTAGTCTACCTTTACACTTCTGATGCTACGTCTCGGTCTCCTTAGCCCATCTATCTTCTTTGGCTCGCTTCTTCATGTTGCTTGTTATCTAAGCCAGGGTCCTTACTTGCTATCATAACACGCTTCTTCTCTACTATTATTCTTCATCATGTGCTCGTGGGTTAGTATTACGAATGGCAGACTATCTTAGAGTCGGCTTCTCCAAGAGATTCTCCAAGTGTTCAGCGTCCTATCTTCGGCAGCTGAAGCGCTGTCTGCTGTTGATTGCACGAGACTGCTGATAAGTTTATGTAATCATTCTTATGTATCTACGTTGTCTTACTTTACACAGGGCGTTACAGAGGAACCAGACCTTGACCACCCTATTAAACAATACTAGCGTCGATCTTGAGACAAGCAGGAAGAGAATCGAGGACGCTCTCAAAGATTCTGAGAATGGCACACCTCTTACACCTCCCGTGCCGATAAAGTCAATTGGTAAACGACTAAGGCGGGTATCATCTTTTAATGAACAGGATGACAACAGTCCCAACTCCGGAGAAGCCCAGGCCGCAGCGTCAGTTGGATCCATTGAAGAATTAGATTTCTTAGAGGGAGATCAACTACAAAACGAAGACGCAAGTGAAACAGGCTACATGGGCCGCGACTTCCAGGTCCAGTGCTTACGGAGCCCTCAAGGAAAACTAAGACAGCCTGAAGAGGAAGGGTCTGTATCGTGGAGGCAGCTAATAACGGTAAAAGAGGAGGACTTTGACCGCCTTGGCTTCGAACTCGGTCACCGTCACAAACTCCAGAGGGCGATATCCACTATGGATAATGTTCCGTGCCTTGATAGTTTGGCATGCAGAATACTGTGGTGACATAAAGGGACGCTCTGGCGCCTCCGAAGCATTGTTAAACGGTGGCCCCCAGGTATCCACAACCCTCTCTAACCGAGGGTTATTATAAGGTTTCCGCTGAGTCCGATACTGTGGTGGAAAGATCAGTGCCAGAAAAACGGCCCGAACACGGATCAGACAAGGCATGAGAGGACATACGTTTAGAAGATTGAGAGAGGGAAAGGAGGAATTCATCACCTACACTACCAGCTACTAGACGATTTTTGAATACTACCTTATTATCTATCCTAGATACCAATCAGCCGTGCACTTAGGAACAATTACATCACATCAAATATGGAGACATATCAGACTGTTACTTGAAGGATACGAGTCTGATAGCTGTTCAGGAGAGCCCTTAGAGGAAGATTGCACCACCTAGGCCCCGTCCAAGGCATCAATGCTGGGGACAGGATAGATGAGTATCTATTCCGGTAGCTGCTCAGAGATCCAGCTCACTAGTATTCTGTACCAAGCACCCGTTCCAGTGAATACTCCAATTCACTCCACTACAATACTTGTCTGAGATCTATCGGCTTACCTCTTTTCTTTTGTGCAGCATACTCCCTCACTAGCACCTTGCGATCCGTAGGTCTCCATTTCCATCTAGTAAAAACGAGGCTGTTCATATCTTCCAATAGCGAGCCGCACGATGCAATCGGCCACATTTTGACCCCACTTTATCCCGATCGATGCCTAAGTGAGCGCCGTTGTGCCATGGGTTGATGTCAGGCCTGGAAATCATCCGAGAGGTTTCTCTATCCACCACTAAACATCCTATGTGAACGGATCTTGAGCAAACAAAGCTTAAAGAGAGCCGTTCTTCTCCACAACTTCGGCGTCAGTGATTCGGGCCAATTCGCTAGCTCTTACTAGTACTCTGAAGGAAAAGCCATGGGGTTCTTGAGCTTGCTATCTTAGGGAAGGAGCCTGGAAAGATCGATCGAGGGGGGTCAGAGTCGGGTTGAGACTTTGCATTGGTTGCAGTGAAGCCCAGGATGACTGTGGGTGTTTTTCAAGCAGGATGAAGATCCCACATCATCCGCACGGTCTTATACGCAGTCTTCCCCAATTGAGAGAATCCTGCCTTCGTGAGTAATGGATGGTAGCCATGCAAACTCTCGAAACGGTCGATTTAGGGAGGAATTGATAGGATCGTCGTATTGCAAAGTATAGGAGAGTGGAGGAAGTGTAGTTGATATGTTCCCAGGTTGATATTTGAAGGACGGAGAGCGGATCGGAATACTAAAATCCGCACTCTGCTTCCAAGGGTTATGCACCGCAGCAGTAGAGCGGAGATCATAAAGTCCTTCTCGATAGAGAGCTGCAGACCCTAACGATGTTAACACAAGTGAGCTGAAATTTTCTGGGCAAGCCGAGTTCGTTTCGTTTCGAGAATGAGCTGTTGGAGATGTTGTTCTTGACGAGGAGGAATATCCAGAAAGCCGTGGAAGACTCAGGATTGGGCTTGTCCCCTCCTGATCGTGCTCCGCTATATAAGAACTCAGTTCCGCTGAGCTGGCCTCTTTCTTTCCCCGTTGGTCGCCGTATTCATGGGTACTGCTTGGTGCTGCAGTCCTTGTGTGGTTTTCTAGCCTGGAACGTATCTTTTCCTCACCTGTTATTCAATGTTAGTAAAAAATCAACAACAAGAGGCTACGCAACGAACGATTGTATGGTGCTGCGTGTTCCGCCTTGAACCCCTCTAGGTACTTTTGATAAGCCTCGTACTTGGGAGATCCCTTGTACTCTGCTAGTTCTGCGTGATATTTCTCTTTTCCGACCTTGGCTTGACATTGATAGGCTTCTCGAGCCTCTGCTGGTAAAACTTGCCACCGTTTACCAACAACTTTCGCAATCTCTGTGAAAGATAATCCTTGGCCCTTCAGAGACTCCCTTACATCTACTTTTGTTAGTTCCAAAATATGGATAGGTAAGAAGAGCCACTAACGGTTAGCGAAAATTACATAGGCAGATAGAGGTCGCCCGGGTGCATGCTCGTCTGACTAGGTAAGGTTAGTAATACACCAGTAATTTGCCTGATTGTGAGAAAGGAAGTGAAAATGGCGTGCCTGGCAACACGGACCTTAGGATGCCGTGCATACTTTCGTTTGGTGCGAGTGATTGGAGGGTGGTGATTGTAGACCGGACCGCGCGATTCAGCAATCGCCCGCTGAAGTTTCTGTTGTTAGGTAAATTAGCGTGGTGACATTGTTAGAAGGATTGCTGCATATACCCTTCGATGACCAATCTTGACATTGAGGGAGTTTCTACTGTATATGTAAATTTCCTTTCCGCTGAGCAATGCCACAGCGACTCACAAGTCTGATTCTGCTATATCTGACATTGTTTCCCAGGTATCGAAACCTTCGGCCACAAGAACATCCAAATATTCTGACAGCCCTAATCGCTTCAATTCTTCTGCTAAGTCGGTCATGATAGAACGTGCGTAAAGGTTGAAGATAATAAAGGTCAAGTACTATAGTTGAAAGGTTAGTACGCTAGACAAATGGCCATTTAGTAGTCCTGGCTACGGTGATTAGTTGGACCTAGTTGCTATTCATGTATCTGGACACACAACCATCAACAGAAGGGAGGGACATGAAGGGAAGCACTATGTGCAAATGTTAACAAAAGGCGTTGGTGATTTCGAATACGCCCCAGGGTTGAGAAGTATGATAACCGGCACTATAAGTATTTAAATCCGTCTAAACGGACGCGCCAGCAATAGCGATGACATAGTGAAGCGGTAGAAGAAGTATTGTGAGAAGAGAATATATCTTAGAGGCTACTAGAATGATGAAAGGTAGGTAAAGTGCATAAGGGCGCTACTGATTAGACTAGAATGAGCGCACGTACCGTTGACTAAATGCCTCTAGGAGCGAATGAGCGAGCTGTAATCCTCAAAGAGGCTAGGAAACAGCAGGCGTTTTCAGAGACAAGTGCAGGCAGGTTCCCCCAAAGATTGCCGGTGAATTGGCTGACTGAGAGTGGGTCCGTGTCTAATGTGGTCCATGCAGCCCCAAGCCGGTGGAGCGAAATGGGTAGGAAAATGATTTGGCGGCATTCTGCTAGACCAGATACGTCCGACCCTCTTATACGTTGACATCTCAGCCACGAGATCGAGATCTTAAATAGGAGACTAGCTCTGTAATAACCAAGCGGCTGAATTTGTTCCTCCGCGGATGTCACTGAGTAAGTAAAGCATGATCTAAACATAAGACTGACATATCCTTTCGGTAAGCAATACACGGGCCGTTCGGGCTCGTCGATATTGTTGGATGTTCTTGTTTTTTTGGGGCCAGTATGCTGTTAGTTACGACACGCACAAAATTCAACCCAATATGATGTGAGCAGCCGCGAACATGATACAGACATGATATAAAGGTGATGTTAGGTAGAGCCGAGTAACCTTGTAAGGATATAGAGAAGGCGCAAGCTAGAGAGGTAATTGCCGATCCAATTAGATGACCATGTCGCTTAGCTAGCCTATGGCGGTTAGATATGGCAAGTCCTCGGAACCTCCACACAATAACAAATGGCAATGGGAAATTCGTATCGAGAAACTGACGAGATACGGAAGCTGCTCAGGGCCGTTGGGAAGGCGCTACTTTTCCGTGCCCCACCCCGTGATGCCTCCTTGGCCTGCGCGTTTTCGCGTGTTCGTCTCTACCACCCACTATCCGTTGCACATCTCTCCTCACTAGTCTTGGTCTATCCTAGCCTATCCGAGTCACATAGGACGGTGAGTGGCCACGCGCACACACACACCACACACACACACACACAAATACAAAGTGTAGAGCCTGTGTAGACTGCGCAGCGCTCAAGCATCGTTGTTTCGCCTTCATCGCACCAGGTTTGGGTCCAGGATCGGGCATGGCCGCAAGCGCCTGCAGTCAGCGCCTATCACTGTGTTGAGCTAAAATCCGTGGCTCTGTCGTCGCGTCGCGTGTTACAACTAGAGAGTTGTTTCGATGGACGAGTGAGATCGTGGGCTTTGCGTATGCGTCCTTACCATGGGGCCAACGACGACCTACGGGCACCAAATCGACACGGAGGAACACGACGGTCTGTAGGAAGTTCTCGCTGTTTGTGTTGCGTGATATCTGTCGTGAATCCCAGGTGCGCGATCACGTGACAGAAATACCGGTACTTGTCAGTTGATGCTCTTGGACGGCGATCTCCGCAAGCCGAAGGAACTCCCGACGTTGCGCCGAGCCAGCCTCCTTGGCCTTCATGTTGGTCGCGCGTTCGCCGCAACATTCTTCGACGGTCACTTGTTACTTTGCGCATCTCTTTGGGTGGTTCCTCCTACCCTCTTTGAAGCACGCAAGTCCTGACCGAACGCATGCGCAACGTCGCCACAACTTTTTGGCGAATGTTTTAGGATGCCTACACCGTCGATCACAGATCATACAGTCTAAACCGATCGGTGGAGGGTTGGATGGCTTTCGCGCCTTTTTCAATTCTACATATGAGGATGTAAGCATTCCCGAAACCACCCAGGTGTTGGGTCAGGTAGGAAATGAAGGTATTATGGATATATCTCATTGAAGACCACCTCTAACGTGTATACAGAGAACCAAGATTTCCTAGTCGCCTTCGTATCCGCTCTTCAAATCCTTCCAGCCTCTCGTCATCTACCCTCGAGCCGCGGCGGCAAGAATCTACTTGAAGATCTGTCAAGACTTATGACTGCAGTCAACGCCGATGACTTCGATATCGAACGAATACTTCCTCTCCTACAAGCAATCCTTCACAAAGAACCCGACAACGTAATTTGGGATAGAGTTTACGATGCTGTCACCGAATCGACGCCTCCAGCTGGCCCTACCTCGTCCTTCCAACAAACACCCCTGTTTATCAACACGGGCAGCTTCGCGAACTCGACCGAGCACCATAAACATGTAGACGATGTGCTGAAGGAGAAGCTGGGACACCTATACGTTGGCGTACCTGGTTTCTTTAAGGCGTTCGTCGAAGACGTGCCAGGACTGAGACAGGCGGCACAGGCCGTGTTCAACAAGTGCAAGGAAGGAAAGAGCCCACTCTACGGGGTAGAGAGCGGCTGGCAGGGCTGGCCTAAAGGGGCAAAGGAAAAGGACGTTCTGAGCTGGTTCACCACTCTTACAGACCGGCTGTTGGACCTCGCAGAAGGGTATCGGCCAGTATCTCGAGTTCGGCGGCGAACACTAGTACAGCCTTATTAGCCTCTGTAAGGCTCCACCGCTGATCATAAGCTAGACATTGGCTTTGTGGACAATCCGAGCGCCGGCGTGGACTCGAAATGCCGCTGGTCACAGATCCTTATACCTGGAGAGCTCAAGAGCAACCCGCTAGCCGATGAAGCGTACAAGGCGTGGCTTGACCTCGGTCGATACGCAAGGGAGGTGCTCGCCGCTCAAGACAGCCGTCGCTTCGTTCTTGGCTTCACTCTATGTGGGCCTTTTATGCGACTGTGGGAGTTTGACCGAGTTAGAGGCATCGCCTCCGAGCAATTCGACGTCAATGAAGATGAACTGCAGTTTGTGACTACACTTTTTGGGTTTCTTTGAATGAACGAGGAGCAGCTGGGGTTCGATCCGACAATTATTACAGTTGGAGACAAGCGGTACATTGAGATCGAGCGGGGGAATGGGAAAGAGCGCCTCGTGATTGACAAGGTGATAAAGCGGGTGCCTTGCGTCGCTGGTCGGGCAACGACCTGCTGGAAAGTCCACCAAGAAGAAGACCCTAGCACGCCGCTCGTTGTCAAGGATTCATGGCAGTATTCGGAGCGCGAAGAGGAGGGCGAGTTGCTACGTGAGGCGACCGAAAAGCAGGCGAAGAATGTTGCTAGGTACTTCCACCACGAGACGGTCCGTATAGGCGGTCAAGACGACGACATCTGCAAAGATATACGGAAAAGCTTGGACATAACGAAGACAACAAACTACAAGCTAGAAAAGCCAATGCCGCCGTCGGGCAGGACGGGGCGCCGGGCCTCGCGGAGAGACGTAAGTAGTAGCGTTACCGGACGGAAGCGATCCTCGAGCTACACAGGACTGCCAATGCCGCTTAGCAAGCGCACTTGCTCAAGCTCCCCAACAAAACCTGCAATTTCGAACCGGATCCATCGCCGTGTCATCGTCCGCGACTACGGGAAGCCCATTTACAAAGCCAGTTCTAGGGTTAGCCTTCTGAGTGCGTTGGAAGGCTGCATCAATGGATACGAGTCGCTACACACACGAGCCGGCATGCTACAACGCGATATCTCGCCGAACAACCTCATGGTCAACGAGGAAGACGATGACCTCTCCTGGCGAGCGTTTTTAATAGACCTTGATCTTGCGATCAAGGAGAATCGTGAGAAACCGTCAGGGGCGCGAGGAAAGACCGGTACGCGAGCGTTCATGGCAATTGGGGTGCTTCTAGACGACGAAATGCATTCGTTTATGCACGATCTTGAGTCATTCTTCTGGATGCTCTTCTGGATATGTATTCATTATGATGGGCCGAACGGAGGAAGAGTTGTTCCACAATTTGAAAAGTGGAATTACATCGACACCGAAGAGCTGGCTAAAATAAAGAAAGGAGAAGTGGGTAACGAGAGAGATTTTCTTAGGACTGCAGAAGCTGCTTTTACACCATATTACCAATCATTAATTCCCTATGTCAACAGATTACGGAGGAAGGTGTTCCCCGATGGTGGGAGGTGGAGGGTTCCAACCCCAAAGCTGTACTTGGATATGAAGCAGATACTTCAGGCAGCGCGGGATGAATTGAAGGAATTAGAGGGGCAGAATTTAAGCACATAATCTATCAAAAGACAGAAAGGGAACCATTGCCATGTATATTCAAACGTGATAGTTTCTCCTCGACGCACTATAAGTTTACTGGCTGAGGTAAATGTGTGCATATCAGTGAGACACTCCGTGTACGTCAAGCGCATGCCTTTTGAAGTGCATCATATCCACCAATATATCGGAACAACTAGGGTGGCGGCATTGAAACGCTGATTGAAGTTCAGCGGCTCGGAAATGCGTCTCCACATGCTTCTTCAAGACATCCTTTCGTGGAATACAGCGCATCCTCCGCTCGTACGAGAACTGTTCATTCCCTATGCAGAAAAGGCATATCGGGTGAGGAGCCATGGTCGGGAACTGCTGCCGAGACCGAATCTCTAAGGTTTGTCCGCGCGCAGATGCGTCATGCTGTTCTTTCACAATCTCGTAATCCTGATTCAGCGGGCTCTTCTCAACACCATTGGTGCCCTTGTTTCTTTTGTTCGAGAAAAACGAGCCATTGGCTTCATATGCGGCCAAACCCACCTTTTTGCGCTTGAATGCCTTCGGCTGCCGCGTCTCTTGTTTGTGACATAATCTAGCCAAGGTTCGCACAAATCTTACCCGGACTCTGTCGTCCTGAATTGGCTTGAAGAGCATGCCGGCGATGGTGGCTCGCTCCCGAAGTTCAAATTCAAAGGCTGGAAGCGTCAGGACTTCGGCTGCGGCCTTCCCACTGAGTTGCCTGGCTATCTCGATTGTATCGATCGAGTCATGGAACTCGCGGATGGCCGATTCTAATCGTTCTCTGTACAACATCTGATACGTACTACCAATTTTTCGCTTTGTGTTTTCGTATTTCTTGTAAAGATCCGTCCCGTGACCCTTCGAGAGTGGATGGAAGCCTTGGTCATGAAGCTGTCTTTTGTACGTTTCTCGCTCCTTACGAAGGACCGCGAGTGCAGGATCGTTCCGTAATGCCTCCTGTTGCGCGTCATCCAGCTCCGTAGGTGCACGTCGATCCCGTGATAAGCCCATGCGTGCAACAGATTGGATGAGAAGGTCTTCTGAAGGGCTTCCAAAGTAGATAGACTGAAAGTCGCGGGCAATGTGCGTCGGCGTGTAATACTTTTCGTATGTACTCCCAAGATGGCCCATAGTCTGGTTCCGTTCTACTGGGTCAAGCGCGCCTAGTAGATCCTATAAGCTTGGGCACATTTAAGGGTAATACGGGTCTAACGCAAACTCACTGTTGATATTCCTCCCAGAAGCCCGTCGTAGCTGGTACAGCTCCAATGATTTCTCAAAGCCCGCAACACGCCCCAAGCGTACAAAGATGTCGCGGTATTTCGCATAGGGAAATGCCTTCTCTTTCAGTATGCGAACACCCTCACTTGTATTCCTGACGTCGCACAGGAACGGTTGATTGAGCAATTCCTTTTTCCACTTGATGCGGAGTACATCACGGCCCACAGGTATGTTGAGGTCGAATACGTCCTGAACACTAGTGAAGTCGTCCCTCAATGCTCCTTGACCGACGCCAATGCTCAAGATATACGAAACTATGCAGAAGGCGAGGGTCCCTTCTAGACGGAAAGTGAACTTCTTTCTGCAACACACTACGAATCAGCGAGACTTCTGGACTCCCACACCTGCTAGTCGACTTACGGCTTTCCATCTTTTTCCTTATTTTTTACGTTCTCGAGATTGACATTCGCCACAATGGTACTCCGGCTGGGATCTACAGTGCTGCGAACCTTCAGAAGTTCGATATTCCTGAACGAGAGTGACTTGTTGCTGCCCTTAACGCTTGCGCTTTCGACAATGGCTCCTGGTCTCGTGGCTGTAGCGGCGCTTAGAAGGAGAAGAAGCGAAATTTGAACTCGGATATAGCCATGGAGGGGTTTGGTGTCGTCGACCCAGAGTGCGTGAAGGATAGCGTAGAGATCCTGGACGTACATGGCATGCTTTTCCTTCTCGGACTTGTCAAGCATTAGGGTTGGAATCCACTACCGCCATGTTAGTGCGCAGTCATGCAAGGGAGAAACGTGTATATCAGAATATACATTACAAACATCGGTGAGGACATTAGCGTCCATCGTGTGGCGTGTGAGATCCATATAGCACATGCTGATTCTTTTCCAATAGCTCCGCATTGAGCTCTCCTTCTTGACCCGGGAATGCTTCTTCCGCCAGCGGAGGTACGCTTTGAATGTCTCTGGGTCGCATGCCCGTAGTTGTTCTTCTGGGGACCTCTTGGTCTTTTTCATAATCTTAAAACAGTATCTAATGTACGTTATTCAAGACTCTGCAAAGATAGGGTGTATGCAGACGAGATAGACCTTACCTCTCCCAGAGGTCGCCTTCCCTCTTCCATAGTTTCACCGTATGAGGGGTATGGTTTGGTTTTGCCGGCCCCTCCGCCCTCAATTGAGCAATGTCCTTCAGTATCTCTTCAGCTTCAGAATCCAGATCCGTCTCTGGCTCCTGCTGCATGGTGAAATCATCATCTTTGCCGGTACTCGGCTCGATATCGATATCCGTATCCGCCTCTGTATCAGGTTCCGAGCACGTATCAGAGGACGAGTTTGTGTCCGACTGCCTTTCACAGCACGAGTCGGCATCTAAAGATAGGTTAGATCGACGCAATGAGTACCGATTTCGCATCAGAGCGGCGTTTTGGCTGGCAGTAGAAGTGATTAGCTCTTCTCAAATAGTTCGCTTCGTAAAGGATGACATCGCGGTAGGACGCGAGTGACTGGAGGAAGGTTAGGGAGACGAAGTAAGAGAGGCGATGGTGGAGGGGATAGTGAGCATGCCATCACTTTAAGTAGGCACCAGTCCATAGGCAAGCTGTAGGCGCAGCACCATTCTTGGGTTTCACGGAAGCACTAACGGTAATTGCAGCCTTCTTCTCCCTAACAGCAGTGCATAGCCAGGATACTACGGTGAGGTGAGGGCCGGCTTCGCATGGTAAGTGAGCATGGGTTTAGTTAAAGCGGCAATGAAAAAGATATTAAGCGAGGTGGAAACGCCTCTAAAAGCAGCGGCTAAAGACTTCCTAGAATGAATGCATTTCCACTGCTACATAGATATAAGTAGCTATCTTCAGATTGAGTATTGATTTCACATAAGCTACCTACGTCTAGACAGTCACTTCTATCATAAAAGCCACGCGAATAAGTCAAATAGGGCAAGGTATCTCTACCCAACAACTCGTAGTCAGAATGTGACGTTGACGATAGCTGCACGGGATTTAAGATTAAACACCTAGTGAAAGTTGATAAGTGATAATGAGATGTTAAAGCATCACTCGAAATAGGTGGCGCGTGAGAGTTGGCATGTGATAGAACGGATGCGTTTGCTTCAATTGGAGATCAAGCTAAGGAGGTTAGATATGCACTCTTTACTTCAGGATAGCATTTTATGGTAAACTCGCACTATTTTCCAATACGTTGATGGCTGCTAGTGCATGCCGCAGCCGCTCTTGTAGCGACACGTTGTTTAGCTCAAGGTCTTTATTCTAAAGCTGTTAATGAGATTGTCGAACGTTAAACAGTGGATTCAGAACCTGGCGTCGGAGAGTATCGATCTAATCCTTCACTTTTTGGCGTGATCTCCGCTGACTCTTTCTGTTCCTTTCTCTTCTCTGTGCAAGTTGGGAGGCGGTGAGTTGCATAGTGTTTTACAGTGTTGGTTCCGATAACTACTTTTTCCGCTTGATGAATGATCCGTATAATTGGGTTGGTAGAATAGATCAGAACTAGATCCAAGTGAGGAATTCTATGTAGTTAGCAAGAAAACAACAATTAATAGTTCCAAAGATGTATCAACAAACTGATCAGGTAGAAAAAGAAGGTGTAGGGCTAATGATACAGCTAACTAGGCTTTGTTGACCGTGCAGCGCTACCCGAGGAGACAAGCGAATGCTACCTAGCACAGATGTTATAAGTCGCGCTGGTAGTATAGGGTCAGTGACTCGCACCTGAAATTTACTAGTATAGTCGGTCGCAAATGACTTATGGCACAGCTATAACATCGGTTTTTTAGTACTCGTGGAACTGACGAGAGCCAAGCTTCTCGTGACCCCGATGTGCCTAGTTACACCGCCCCCGCACCAACCTCTAATTCCCGAGATTTTTCCGGTTGCTATGATTCTCACAACATCAATAATGATACCATTAACGGCGAGCTTGCACAACCTGATAAGTCTACAGCCCTTCACAACCTATTTATAAGCATGAAGCACTCAATCTCAGATATCAACACTGTGCAGCAATCACGATGTACCAATCACATTTCGAAGCGTCGCAAACTAAGACCTGTCAACCCCGAGACGCGCCGTACATCTCCGCCCCATTCGAATCCACCGAAAGTATCAAACCCAGCGTCACAATCATTACATGCATCCTCAGAATCATTTGTACGCACCGAAGACGCGCCTAAGAATACACATCAGTCTGTGTCAGATGAACCAGATGAGAAAGCAGCGTCAATAGCACATTGGATCATAAGCTGCGAGGCTGACACGATGGCACCACCAACACCACGAAGCGGATCTGTTTCGTCCAGCCGTGGAAGACGCTCCTCTAAGCGCTCTGCACGTGCATCTCGAACGCCCAGCCCTAACAAGCGAACGTCACCACAAACGTACCGTAACCAGAATATGTCCTACGCTGGAGTTCTTATTGACGACCTGATTGAACTTCCGCACGATGTCGAACGCAAAGTGCGGTATATACTAGAAGCAGAGACTTTAGAGGATATAATCGGCACGACGAAAGACGATCCGCAGCAGGAAACCTATGTAAAAAGGTTCTTAGATCAGTCACGTTATAACGCAAGAAGTTGTTCGCTTGAAGGGGACTGGAAAGCCAGTTTGTTCAGCCTTATGGGCGACTTAGCACGAGACAACTTCCAATGTCATACGTCAGAAAAGCGTAAGTTCGCAGACCGTGTCTGAAGCATTGTTCCGGGATGCTAATATTCCCTTCAGTCTGGAATGCCGACCTCAAGCCCTCGCCGCCTGGCATGGCCCAACTCGACGATGAAAGCGACGCGTCAACACCGCGCTTTCCGCAGCTGCAATCTGTGCTCCCCAACTTCGATTCGCAATCAGCTTCTGGGTTTCCAGGGCCGGTGCCTTCATTACAACCATACACACCTTCCATCGCTTACACGACCAGCAGCGAAGCTGCTGACCCGTTTTACATCTCAACACCAAAGCCGGACATTGTAGTAGGGCTTGAAGATAGGGATTTTGAGCCAACCTATCGGGTTCGGTTGGCCAAACACCAAAGGTTTGGATCGATACTGAGCGACCCGCATACGGCTGCCATGGGCTTGCGTTTTCCGTTTCTAATTGCAGAGACGAAGGGTTTGAGCCTGAATGGGGGTCTGGTGGCGGCGCAGAATCAAGCAGCTATTGGTGCCGCTTGTATGCTAAGAATACTGGATGACCTTGAGAATCAGGCCGCACTGCCCACAGAATCCGCGCCTCCAGCAGAACCACGGCTCTGTTTCTCTATTACGACCGAGGGTCCAATACATGAGCTGTGGGTGCATTTCAAACTTGGAGAGGTGACTCATATGCACAATATTAGGACATGGCGCACAACGCACCCACCTCATGTGCGGGAGCTAGTGTCCTGCCTCACACGAATTTTGAAGTGGGCGAAAGATGATTTTATGGTGAAAATACGGGAGAAGTTGAATGCAGTACCAGATTGAATAACTATTAGCTGCTAGTGTCTAGCCTTGACTCTTTTTCGTTTGAATCTCTGATATTATGGGTGGCACTACATCGTACGTCTTCTTTCCCTCTTCTGAGCTTATAAAGTAGGCGATTTTAACGCAAGGTGAGTCTTTGCTATGTTTATGAGCTCACACCACTGAAGATGCACTTAAATAGCTGCTCTACAGCTTAGCAGCAACAATTTTCCAAATACACTAAGTCCAACTACTGCGCCTGAAGCTTAGTATCACAGCTCTGCCAGACTAGAAACTCAACATAACTATTGTGCTTATCTCAACTCATGCTTCTTGTAAAGTTCCTCCGACATAAAAAAACTAAATTAACGTTTTTTATAGTTAGATATTATATCACGTTTGATATACATAAGTTTCCTTTGCGTGACGATTCTCAATACATCTTCATCATGCTTCAAAAAAGCCAATTGCCTCGAGGACTTCCTTGACCGTCGATAAGTCCTTTCTGCTATCAAAATAAACCGCCCCCACCAGCGCTCCAACTGATGACGTAGCAGTCTCTTGCGGCACCGAACCCTATTGGCATGGGTTTTTCTTAATACAACTTGATACGCCGCTTCTCCGAGCTACCTGGCTGTAACTAATCCCAGATATCTACTAACTACCACGTTTAAGATGAAAGCTGTATTGCTTTAGACAGAACCAGAGCAGCCACAAGGTTTGTGCTAAAGAGCGCTTTTGCGATATAATTGGTGATGCATTGTTTTCTTGCTAGTTGGGTATACCAATTATGTAATAGATTACGCAAGCCTTCACGGCTTTGACTGCCTAATCTAGTCTTACAAGTACTGTAAATCTTTACCGCACTTACCTTTAGCGTCTTTTATTTACTTAGATCATACTAATTATAGTAGATGCACTATCGCTATGACTACTATGAAGGAAAATGTGGGGTTGTCTATATAATATCATATAATGGCAGGCTGGCTTTATTGTCTCTAACTTCAGCTTACAATTTGAAATCTCCGGCTGAGAATTAGCCTACCTAGTCAACAATCCACATGCCGATGTGCGCTCATGCTGCCGACAATCAACTTCTCTTAGCCATATCTACGTAGGAAATACGGTCTCTTATCTCGCATAGTGTTAGCATCAAACAGGATGCGAGATCATGGCGAATTTACTAACCTTGTGCTCAGCCATAGCGCTGGAAGCTTCCACGCCCACCGCATTATTGTCTGTCCTCAATCAAAAGTGTTTTACAAAGCATGCACTAGAGGATTTAAGGTAAGTTAGCATTATCGCATAGGACTCCAGCAGTTGCTAAGACTATGTTAAGAGGAGTTTACAGGCACCATTCAGATGGATCATGTGCAGTACATAGAACTGAAGAAGCTAGTCAACTTTTTCTACAGCTCTAAGTATGATGACTGCCTGCCGGAGGAAGCTAACATATCTCTACTCCAACTCCATGCCAGGATGTTTGCACTTGCAGATCAGTACGACATTCCAGGCTTAAGTCATTTAGCTACAGAAAAGTTCTTTTCCAGGTGCACCACATTATGGGAACCCCTAGAGTTTCTAGTTTCACTCCAAGATGTTTATGAAACCACCCCCACCAGTACTAGATTGCTACGCGACACGGCCTGCACAGCTATTCGAAAGCACTTACCAAGAATGCTTAATAACAAGGATGTTGCAGAACTGTACGACAAGATTCTCTCTAGAATACCTAACTTCACCGAGGACCTATTAAGATGCTACGTTAGCAATCCTTTGTATAGGCATTGCCAATCATGTTTCACGTATCAACCAATGGAAGCACTGCAAGGAAGATGCAAGAAATGTAAGAAAGGTAATAGAGGTTTTAGTTGGTAAAGCATTTGAAAGGCATACAGAGATCTTGCTAAAGAAAGGTATGAATAAAGATGTTAAACTACTTTGTTCTTATTAGTTGATTGTTTTGAGTAGTTCAACAGTATCTCTTCGTGATACATGAACATACTATTGCTAGAGCAATCTTGATCGCGATTTAGTATCCTCCGTGCCCTCGACATCACTATGATCTTTACTATGGCTAGCATCATCTACATAAGAGTCTTGCTTCCGTTTCTTCCAAGCCGCGAGCCTCCAGCACACGACACTGCTGATGCTCCAGACACTTCCAAAGATGATAGGTACACCGTATCCTGACATTGCTGCACTCGTAAGAGTTGCAAAGATAGAACCAGCTGCAACGTTTCAAATACCAGCTTGAATACCTGCTGTGATGCTGTCCGTTCGTATGTCAGTTGTGGGGCGATTAGGGTGTATATTTAAGTTCAGACCTGCAGCGATACCACCCGCCGTAAATCCAGCAAGCCTCAAGAAAGCAGGTGTGCATAATGTAAGAACCAAGGGAATAATCAGGGCAGCAGTCTCCTAAGGATGTGACTTCATCCACATAATTGCCGCTTTGAAAACTGTAGTAATGTTCATGTTTTTGAGTGCTTTAATTGCTATATCTAAAGCATCTTGGGCCTGCATCCTAACCGCACGAATGGTGATCGTGAAGTGAATCACAGCAATATCAATCGTACCATAAAGAACAGGAGCGTTGCAGATTGCATTAATTGCGGACGCATTTCTTAGCGATCTTCTGAGTTGGCGATTGCGTGTCTCTAAAGAATGCGAGATGTTTGAACTAAACAAGTGCTTACTGGATGCACTCTCTTCTTCTATTTCCATGTTTTGTGATGGCTTGTGAGTACTGGCAACTATTATCTTACTTTCTACTTTATGCGCTGTATGCTACTGTTGATAAGCTCTGTAGTTAAATGCGTTTTCTATAGGTACTTACATCGGTCTTTAACTATCGCAGGTGGGTGAAGCGTGTGATGTTCACGGCTTGGCGATGACAAATGCGGGGCTGGTGTTACCTTGCACACTGTCATCCTTTCCTACCGATGTTATGATGATCGTGGAGGGCGATTCTGAGGAAAGTCGCAAAGGCGTGGGCAAGTAACGTAACAATAAGATCTGCTAATTTAGAGCTTAGATATCTGCTGGTTGAATGTTTATATCGAAGACGTTGCCGTGAAACTAGAGTATGGTGACGATGACTGTAAGCGCATGTCATTGTATGTCGCTGTAAGTCACGTCCCCTCTTTTAAGCGCTCCAGGGCTAGCGCATAGTCAATCTTAATAATCGCTTCTCATAACTCGTTAGCTAGCGTCCGTCTCTGTGTGCCGAAAATGACGAATCGGATCACAAGGATCATGGACGTCTCTCTAGCGGTTACGGTCCAATTGGCCATTCTCGACACACTGGGGCTGTCGACACGCAGAGACGCTCGTTACATATAGAGTTTGAGTCGTTTGAACATAAAGCGGCGCCCAATAACATAAATGGAGCCCATTCGTTGGAGGCTTTTTCTAATGATCTCGATCATCCTAGTAGCCAAGCTAATTAGAAGCGGGGTTATCGAACCGATCGATGACCTGATCCCTTGAAGGCTTGCAGTGCGGGGTACGCACGACAAATGGAAGAGGCAATAACCTCCCTTCCCGTGGGTAGAAGTTTCCACCACGCCGAGCTATGAAAATCTGGCCCGCTTTAACATTGATAGGCAGAAATAGCTTCGAGTCCTGATTCTGCTCACATATCTGAACCAACAAGGGTCTCTGTTCGCCTAAAAGTCACGAGCTATATCAGTACCACAAGCCGATCGTTCATGTTCGTGTATATCGTCATGTGTGATTCTTGGATCGAGTATTAATATTACAGACTGCTAGAATAGTTATTCATTAACCTAAACCTATAATTCAAAAGTCCGCGAATCTCTCCATTTACCCTCACAGGTTTACTTGAGTATTCTCACCGTGCTCACCTTATGGCATTGTTGCTCTTGATTACTTTAATCACTCTTGCTTTTGCCAGTCTGGCTTCAGCGGGACCAGCGGCCTACGGATTATGTCAGGCGGGCTGTTCTGCGGTAGTTATGGCCTGCTACTCTGCAGCTGGATTTACCTGGGGGGCCACTCTTGGTGCTTCCGCACCTGCTAGCATCATTGCATGCAATACCGCCTTTGGTACTTGTCAGGCTGCTTGTGCCGCTGTGGTTTTAACCCCAACTCCATAGGAGGTATGACACCTAACAACTTTCTACCTTTGACTACTTCTAAATGGTTTTAAAATATCATTCAAGTTGAGGGCTAATTGCTTAGAATTTCTGAAGGAAGATATTCTGGATCCATTTATAACACAGATAAAAGGAAAGCAATTCACAAGCTATATTATTGGGAAGAAGCTAGAAGTTATAAATGAAATTTGTATGAGTAGTTAACGTCATTGCGATTTGAAAAATTCAGGTTCAGCGTACGTCGGGGAGAACAATGATCATAGTGTCCAAAGCATAAGCTTAACAAGCCCCTCTTTCTTCACAAATTCAAGAGAGTGTAACTAATTGCTCAATCAAAAATCGTAACCACAGAAATCAGGATGATAGTCTTTAGACCAGCCATGGAAAGCAGAGTACCCAATCCACAACGTATCGTTGTTCACTAAGTACAGTGATCGTGTGCAGCCTTGTTAACAGAATCGTTTTCAACATTGCCAGTATAATTACTATGAGGATGTGTTGATAGATCGATTCCACGATCTATTAGCATAACTTCCACGATCTCTTTCTGAGCGGGCCGGGCTACTTGTCGGTGGAATACATTACACGTGGGCGTCTGCTTAGAGGAGGCGAGGAATTAGTGTAACGTCTGTCACTCTTTGATGAGAAACTCTATGTGCCGAGAACGGCTAATCGGATCGCAACGGTTATAGAGAAGTCTATGATCCTTGCGATCCGATTGGTCGTTCTCGACACAAAGCGTTTCTTGTCAAACAGGGGCAAACGTTACTGTACTCCCAACGTGGTGCGGGGCAGGTGCAAAGGCAAAGTTCGGGCCAAGGCGGACGCAACTCATTAGTGAACTTTTCTGGTTGGTGTCAACCAAGTTCTATCATTCTTTACTATTGTTTCTTGAGTTTTATTGGTGCATAACGAGGTTTCTATATATCACTGGAGCGGGGCTAGGGCTTAATCCTCCTATTGGCATAACAAACGAACTCGCGGAGTGGATAAAAAGCTCGCGTCACAACTATGTATCTGTGGTTTTTCTATCGCTCTCTTGATCATCTAGTCATCTTTCATTGCGCCTGATCGTGACGAACGTACCAGCTATCGAACTGATCGCCAAAATGGCGCTTCGCACATCCGATCTTTTTGAATGCTTCTGTGGCCGCACGTATACGTATGCGATTGATCTGGAAGAACATCGAAGGGCACGAGGTCACTTTCCCTCACATGTCTGCAGAGGTAGTTGCAGACATCCTCCAGTGGCTCAGTACAACTTTACCATTCGCAAATGTGGCTATTGCGGCAAGCTCTGTGAGCGCCTGGATATCTTTGAAGACCACTACATTGCTACTGGGCATTGTTTCTGTTCGGAATGCGACCTCCCCTTCGAAAGCCAGAGCGCTTGGAAAAATCACTGCGAGGTAGAGCTCCATGCTTCCGAGTATCGTTGTTGCAACTGTGACATCTCTTTCAAAGATATCCACGCCTTGAACGCGCACATGGCGAGACTTGTGCATCGGAACCCTCTCCAGCAACAGCCCCACGGCAATGCAAGAAAGGCGGAAAAAGTCACTACAGCAAGTGCGGGTGATCGGACATGCAAGAAATGTCAGCGAACCTTTCCGTCTCTTCAGTCTTTTCAACAACATTGTGAGTCGATCAAGCACAAGCCACT